TTAATATCTCATAAATGTAGTTACGAGTTAGGAAAAATAATAGTTACGTAACCATTCTTGTTATTAAATACTCTTAACTATCCCATAACATTGAACAGCGTACATAAACAACTTTATAATAAACTTTTATTTTTCGATACAGTTTGTATTCTATACGTTGTTTCATCCCGACGTCTTTGATCAGAATTTCTAGAAAGTTTTCAATCAAAGAAATTGACATAAGTGTATACAGGATTGTAAGAAATTATAGACCTATACCTTGTTTTCATTCGAATAATTTATATGGACGTGTATCAGTTACGAGTTGCAATTAATAAGCAAAGATGATTATGAGACTACCATTTTTCAGTCGGATAGATTCTTAAGTAAACGAAAAGTTTTACTTCGATAATCTTATTACAATGTCTATAATAGAAATATTCCAACAGATCGACATAAAAGTAATAAGCGTTTCTATGTTTTTTTATCAAAGCGATTCGTTCTTTCTTGGCTCAATCATATCATATTTCATTAGGTTCTTTATAAAACTATTATTACTTGCGACATTTAGTGTAATTTCTGCGATGTTATGATATTCGGTTGAATATTCAATAACGCCGTATTGTAAAATGTTCATTTTCATAATAAAGAGTAATTTTACTATTAAGCATCGTTCAGTCACTAAAAAATTGTTGAACATCGAAAAATGAATAAACTATTTTGTATTTTGTGCCTTCTTTAAAAGTCGTTAAATTAAAATGTTAAGTTAAAACTGAATTAAGAGTTAATGCGTAATTAAAAGGCTGTAACACAACGAACGTCTTTTGTAAATCCATTATTGTACACAAATCGTGTAATGTTTTCATATGTGTAAAGATGCATTTTATAAATACACTTTCTATGCTAGAAAATAGTACATCACAGATCTAAATCTACCTTAGGCTTGATGTAACTGGTTGGTACAGCATTTAAGGGTAAGGCCACTCGAGCATCCGCAAAAATAGCACACTTAACAATTTTTTAATGGAATGTTTGAAGCCATAATTTCCATAAAAAATTGTGAATAATGGATTACTTTTCCGGGTACTAGAGTGGCCTCACTCCTTAATAATATTACCAATTCAGATAATTAATAGCAATTTTGTACATACATTCGGTATGACGAACAGATTTGATATTCGTGGACTTCGATTTGAATTTTCTCACCCTTTCGTTGCTTAGTGCTGCCACCAGATTGGGAGCGGTCGTCAAGTTCTGCTACCATCAGCCAATCCCGTGGCTCCTTAAAAACCTTGCGGGTTCGCTCGACAGGTTCGCCGAGTGGTGGGGATACGGCATAGCTCGCTACGTTTGTGTGCGAGCGAGGAGCGTGGAGGTAGGAGCAAGGAAGAGCCCCCACTAAGCCGGCCACAACCTCAGTCGCCTTTCACAAGTTCGGTCGGTTGGGGCGGCTTGTGTTCGTGGTTATAGACGTAATTGCAAGTGTGAGCACATCGGCTTTGTATGTAAATTCGACTCGTAAGTAACAACGAACGGATCAAGTTCCGTCCGTCGGGTCGGTTTCGCGTGTAGGTGATCGTCCTCTCGACGGATCGTCCTCGGACCCGCTCCGGGAGGGCCTCGAGAGACAGTGCACACCGGTGACAGAACGCGTGGGCTGATGTCAAACAGTTCTCAAGAGATTTCCTATATAATTCCAAGTATAATTCTCGCTGGTACCGCGATTTTGATCGCGAGGAAGTTCATTCAGTGAACAAAAGGAGTTCCGTATCACTCACGTTACGCTGTTGCCGGTGTTTACGCCTTTCAGTACCTTTTTTTACGCGCGTGACGGACTGGGAGGGGGGGTCGATTTGTACGGGATACCGGTGACTCGTAATTAGAAAAGTATCGTAAGTACTCCGTCTCGAATCGGACGCTCGGTCCCGCGACAAAAGTCATCGGAATGTATCTGAATGACTCCGGTAGTGTAACTCCTTCCCACGTAGAAGACCGGGTCCAAGATTCCACGAAGATGATGAGCAGACACGCGGAACGAGCCTCTCTCCGTAACCGGTAAGTCTCATTTTTTTCCTTGTTTTCCGTGATCTTCGCGTGACAATGTTCTCGTCCGATCAAGCTGTCGATTATTATTACCTGTGCTACGTTAAGGTGAAAGGGAGATCCTCGCGTTATACCGTGCCCCGTTGCGAATTTACCAACGTCACGTTCTTTAGAAATTACCCGTAGAAACTACGGATTCGTTGATCCGGTGAAAATATACTTGCGCTTTCCGTACCATTTCACTGTTTCGGCGTATTTTAACGCTGATCTTGGAGAATTAATCATACGTGCGGTGTATGTATGTATTTGAACACTAGTTGCTTCCGCGAAGGTCAATGAACACTTGCTGTTCGGTATTAAATGTTTTTATGTGGTTAAATTGATATCGAAATTTCTATCGATGTCTCAACGATGCTTGGATATATTAATTAATGTCACTGAATTTTTATAATTACGCTATTGTATAGATAGAGCCGGGAATATTTTTTTATCGATTCTGTAGCTACGACGCATAGCATTTTTATTTTTCATCTTAGAAACATGGTCAGTAGTGTGTAATAGTGTATTGGCCATTTC